AGGACACAGTATTTTCCTCGTTATCGTCCTACCTACTTGCTCTCTTCTTCTCAGTCTCTTGGCTAGATTGTCCTCCAGATCATGCCCTCTAACTTCAGGTGTCTCTCAGGGTTCTGTCTTGCCTTGTCTTGTCTTGTCTTGTCTTGTCTTGTCTTGTCTTGTCTTGTCTTGTCTTGTCTTCTCTCCTTTCTACACTACATTTGATGATCTCATCAGCTCCCATGGACTTAATTACCATTTCTATGCTTGTGATTCTCAGATCTGCCTATCTTACCCCAAGCTTTCTGCTGAACTTCAATCTTGCATCTCCAACTTCCTTTCCAACATCTCAATGTTGGAAAGCAAAGAGTCTTAATCTCCCACTGAAAGCCTAAGGTGGGAGTTCTTTCCTAATGTTCTCTCTAATTACAGACCTTAGAAGTTCCTTAGAAGTTTTCTGGATGCATTTTAAACCTTTCACCACAAACATGAAACATTTTACAAACACACACAGAGACAGAAATAGCTTGACAATACAAAGTGTGCATGGATCTAATTTTCTTGTTGGCTTTTTAGGCTTAGTTTGTTTTTGAGATAAACCAATTTAAAATTAGAACAACCAATTCAAATGACAATATAATTTGTATTAGACTGGTCAAAATTCGTAGGTATCACATGCCGATTTATTCTAACTGACCACTAGCCAATTACAGAGGATATCCTTCAGAGGAGACCTTTTTTTGATGTCCTCAACCCCAGAGCCACTTGGAGAAAAATGGACTGCAACCTAAAATGGAAAGTCCAATAGATAAGGAGAAAGGATTTAGAGGGGATAAGACTTACCCATGCTTCAGAGCTGGGACTTCAGGAGAAATGTCCTGTGGGCACCCAGCCCCAGCACTGGTGGGGTTAAAAGTGTACAAAATCCCAGTCCAAATCGAAGATATGGCATCATTTAATGTTGAACCCCAATTTATTACAGAGTCTGTACTAAGAAAGAGACAAATGAGATTAGTGTGGGTATGTCCACAGTTTAATTTTACTCAAGTTATCTTGATATGCATTGTTTGGGGATTTTGGGGTATAGAGTCACATTCCCATCAAAGAGTAGGTATTCTCATGGGATACCAATCAACCATGATTTATTGACATACTAAGATATGGGTTATATTAAAATGAGGTCTTGAGTACATGACTTAGGTCACTTTAATCTTGGTTAACAGGGGCTGGTATCACCCACCATCTGGACAGTGGAAATATCATCCCTGGTCTTGGGAATCTGTCTCCACCCAAACCTGAGTAGGATAAAATTAATTCAGGCCTGGGTTGGATTTTTATCAAGATAAGAAGATTCAGTGCAATCTCATTATCAGAAAAGTTCTTCTGAAGAACTTTGGACAGAAAATTTTTTGGCAGGGGGAATGGGAGCTCTGAGTTTCCAAGACATAGATTACTAAAAGAAATCATTTTTCACATCTCTCATTTGCTGGCTCTTTCAAAGGGTTTTATCTCAGAGCTAGAGATGAGGAGTTTATTGCATTTCCTTGTCTTTCAACTATATAAGACTGCTTCACTTGAATGCTGACATTACCCTCTCAGAAATCCTCTCAACCCACCTACAGACTCAGGTAGTTTAGTTTTCTAGTGATTCATCCAGTCCACATCTTCTGGCCAATGGAAAATTCAGCATTTGAAATGCATGAAAATGTCCTCCTCTCTACCCCATCTAGAGGGAAGGTGAACATCTCTTCTGGTCTGGTAGGCTACTCATTATAATTTTTAGTACTTTTTTCTTTCCAGTAGGGACTTAATGAATGTTAGAGCTGTTAGAGACGTTAGAGATCACATTTAATTTAGCCTCCTCATTTAACTAATGAGGAAATGGGAGTCTAAACAGACAAAATGTCTTGATGAAAGTTCAGATTTTCTGACCTAATCACAAAACACTGAGTAAGGTTGAAATTGCATGATATATAACGTGATTAGGTCCAAAATGATGTTGATGTTTCATTTATGTCTGATTCTTTGTGACATATAGGCAAAGGTACAGGGTTAAGTGACTTGCCCAGGGTCACATAGCTAGTAAGTGTCTGAAGCCAAATTTTGACTCAGGAAGATGAGTCTTCCTGATTTTAGGCCTGGCATTCTGTCCACTGTGTCAACTAGCTGCAGGTCCAAAATAACTAGGGCCAAATTGTCCATCTATAGAATGGGATGCTTACAGGTCTATGAGATCAAAATGACCTGGGTTAAAATTCATCCTCCAATATTTTCTAGCCATGGGGCCGTGGAAAAGTCATTTAACCTCTCATGCTCAGCTTCCTCATCTATAAATGGGTAGAACACCTGCACTACCCACCTCACAGGTTTATTAAGAGTCTTAAATAAACAATATATGCTAAGTCTTTGCAAACCTTAAATTGCTATTTGTCAGCTATTATCATCCTCACTAGGCTTCAGTTTTCTTTATGTGTAAAATGAAAGTTAAACTAAATGATTTTTAAGGCCCTTCCAGCTCTAAATTTCTAGGATAATATTTTGAATATTCGAATCTCTTCTTCACCCCTCCCCCATTTATTTATGGTAGAGTCCCCCTCTCCCCACCACCCAAAGTAAGATTCTTGAGGGCAAGGCCTGTTTCATTTTGTCTTTGCACTCTCAGCACCAAACACTGTATTTTGTAGAGAAAGTACTTAAAAAATGTTTGTTGAAATGAATGAAATTGAATTGAGGCAGCCCCTCCCCTACACCCCTCTCCCATCCTACTTTGGGCCATTCTTGGCCCTCACTCTCCAGGTCTGTCTTCTTGGTTCTCTAATTTAGTTCTTCCAGAGGCCTACTGTCTGTCAGTAAATCCATGCTGTAAGGTTAATGGCTTGAGAGCTTTTTCTTCCCCCAAAAGGCCTCCCTGCCCCATAACTGTTTATTTATGTATTTCAATAGTCAATACTTACACAGTTTTACAATTTATGAAGGCTTTACATAGATTTTCTCCTTTAAGCCTCTCAGAAACCTTGTAAGAAGAAATTATACTAATTTGTACTAAAGAAATTATAAGCTACATTTCATTGATTAGTAATGTGAGACTAAAGGCTACTAAATGACTCAGGCAGGGTACCAAAAACTAGTAAATCTCAAAGGGGAGCTTTGACCAGGAATTTTCTTGGAACAGGCAATAGCTAAACCCAGAAGACCAATGCAAATGATAGTAGCTTCAGGCAAGACAGTGGAAGAGATACCCGTCCATAGTCTCACCTCTGGCATCCTATAAAAAATGCCACACAGGCACCTGCTTAGTCTGTCTATGAATAGGGCCAGCCCTATCTCTATCCCATTTTTTTTAGTAGGCAGTGCAAATGGGTGTGTTAGAAGGAATAATTTTTTTTTTAAATTAAGGAAGAAATATTAGTTTCCAGGGTAGGGAGCAAGGGAAAGGGAGTGGTAGTGGCAATGCTTTTTGAAATTTTTTTTTTAAATTGTCTGTGAATGGATTGTTATGTGTAAATATACATAACTGATATTTTATACACCTAAATGTAAATTTTCTAAGTTATACCTGAGACCACTTGGATTTGATTATATTAACATAAATTATAATAATGTCTAAAACATGTTAGAGTGGCAGGTGGAAAAATGGAAAAGAATGTTGGATTAGGAGTTCAAAGACCTGGCTCTTCCATTAACTGGCTGTGTGACCTTGGGACACTTAGTCTCTCCCCCTGAGTTTCCTTATCAGCCTAATTAGGGATTGTGAACTACATATTCTTTAAGGTCCTTTGCATCTCTGACAATTTATATATAGAATAACTATAACAAATTAAACATATTGCCTCTAAAGCAGTAGTTTAGAATATACCCTTTCCTAGAAGACATTCTCTAATGCAATCATTATATTTTCTGGAGTCAGTTTTAATTGAAGTTGATTACTACATTATAGAGCAAGAAAGAAATAAAAAAACCAAAAACAAAACAAAACAGCCCTAGAATCCTAACATTGACAGAGCCTAGCAAGCACATTGTTGCCAGATCTACTCTTAAGTAAGTGATTGGTAAATTATCCATTGTAGCATGCTGAACACATAGTGTATGAGGTGTATGCACTCTGACATAGAATCCCATAGAAGCAACAGGGCATATGGATTTAGGAATAAGGATTCAGGAAGCTATAGGTTCAAGTTCTTCTCCTGACACATATAGGCTGTTCAGTTAACCTCTTTGTGTTTCAGGCAGCACCTTAAGATGCTATATTATAGACAGATTTCATTCTTCATGAGTGAAAAGAATTCTATTACATAGATGTTATGTAAGACACATATGCACCAATGCATTAATTAATTAATGTAGAGGATCATGGGGTTGGGGAGATATTCAGGGAGGAACCTAAGGTTCATCCTTCTGCTTTCATGAAAAATTGCCCTTCAAGTAGCCCAGCCAGAAATTTTCTTCTCTTTTCTCAAAAATGTTACACCATTATCACCCTTGCTCATGCTAAATGACCTTTTATCTCTTAGCAAATAGAGTAGGGATTCTGACCTATTGAGGAAAGTAGAAGTCACCAGGAAGTCAAGCTACTTTGTTTTCCTTCATGATTGGCCAGTTTCCTTCCTAGGCAAGTCCCTAAAATAATTAATCCCTACCTTGGTTCTTACCCTGCATCATGGATAAGAATACTCATATCAGTGAGCTCACAGACCCATCAGAGTGTCAGACTATCCTCAGTGCCTAGCACAGGGCCTTGAACAGAGTACACATTTGGAATTTTTTTGGCTTGATCTGTCATCTTCCACTCCTTCTTCCAAACATGCAGGCCTGCAGTGGCTCTAACCCTCAAGCATCATCTTCTTCCTACTGATGGTTATTTCCTTTATTCATGGTTTTCTAGGTATTTGAGTCCCCAGGTGGTGCTATCCAATGGGCACAATACCGGAATAATCTCAAGGACTACCTTTGGCACCAGCCTGAACCAGCAGCGGTCATACATGACTTTTGAAACCTTGAGAATAAAAAGTAATGGCCTCCATGCCCCACATTGGCACTTCAATGCCAATGAACATGGCTACCTTGCACAGGTAGGTCTGGGTTGCTCTCCGGAAACCAAGCATTCATAATGTGTATCTGTATTGTTTTCATTGCTGAGATGCCTGTTGCGTGAGAAAGCAGGTCAGCCCTCTGATTTGGGTCATCTATTTTAAGAGCTTTAACATTAGCCCTCTGGCTTAAATTACTTCTGGCAGCAATTGGAACTTTTGTCCAAAGTGCTAAATCATTTACCACATACTATTCTTCATAAGAACAATGCATAAATTAAAGGACATTAAATGAGGTAATACTTGTAAAGAGCTTACTTAGCACAGTGCCTGACACATAGTAGGCTCTACAGAAATGCTTATTCCCTTTCCTTCCCCTCTTTAACAGACCTCATTTGGTAGGTAGTGAAATTAATTTTATCTCCATTTAAAAGATGAAGATATTAAGGATCTTAGAAGCTAACTGACTTGACCATGATGATTTTGAGAGTATCTAAGGCACAAGTCAAACCCAAACTCTATCACAAAATCTAACATTTTATCTAAGGGATATAGTGGAGAGAGCACTGCAAACAAAGTTAGAAGGATCTGAATTCAATAGCTGTAGGACCACAGGTAAATCACTTAACCTCTATTTCCTAATCTAAAAAATGAGGACAATAGCACCTATCTCTCACAGTTGTTTGGAGGATAAAACAAGATATTATTTGTAAAGGGCTTTGCGAGCTTTAAAGTGCTATATAAGTCCCATTACTATTTCCTATTCCATGCTGATTCTTTCTAGGATATAAGAAAGGATTATACAGAGTACACTTTTGCCAGCAATAGCAATGAATGCCCATTCTGATACACAGCCAAAGAAAATGTCATTTCTATCTAGGAAAAGCAGTAACTGAAAGAATGAATTTTCTTTTCTCTTTTTTGGCTAGGCAATTGGGTTAAGTTACTTGCCCATGGTCAGCTGGTAAACATCAAGTATCTAAGGCTGGATTTGAACTCAGGTTCTCCTGACTCTAAGGCCCATGCTCTATCCACTGCGCCAAAGTTTTCCAAGGTGAAACTTGGAGCCTCTGGGATCAAGGATATGGGATTCCAAAGTGATCATTTTGTGAGTCAGGGCCTGAGAATTCTCTTCTAGTTTAGATGGAACATAGGGAGGCACTTCTAGAAAAGATCAGACTTACGTGACTGGATGGTTTGGTTAAAGGATACACAGCCAATGATGAGAAACAATTCATGATTCTAACCATGTTTAGTGTGCCCTTCTAATTATTTATCTTAATCAGAAACTAAAGACTGAAAGACACTTCAGAGAGCATCTACTCTAACCCCTTCATTTTAAAAATAAGAAAATGGAGACACAAAAAGGAAATTCAAAGAATCATAGGTTTGGAGAAAAAGAGAGCTCTGAGACCATCTAGGGTAATTCCTTCATATGATGATGATGATGATGATGATGAAACTGAGCCCAGGGTCACACAGCTACTCAGTGTTGAAGGCTCAATTTGAGCTTAGGAAGATGAGTCTTCCTGACTCCAAGCCCAGTGTTCTACCCACTGTGCCACCTAGTTGTCCCTTTCATAATAATAGCTGACATATAAAGATACATAATTTTAAAGTTTACAAAATGACTTTTATAACAACTCATTGAGATAGGTCAAGTGTATCATTATGTTCGTTTTACAGATGAGGAAACTGAGTCTTAGAAATGTTAAATGATTTCCATAATGTCTCTTAGTTAATAGATATCAGAGCCAGGATCTGACCTTGGACCAAGGTCAAACTGCCATTTCTGCATATGTATGTTATGATATACATAATGTTTTTAGAATTCTTTTTTTTAATTTATCTTTAGTTTTCAACATTCACTTCCACATAATTTTGAGTTCCAAAATTTCTCCCCATCCCTCTCCTCTCCCCACCCCATGATGGCCTGCATTCTTGATTCCCCCTTCACCCAATCTGTTCTCTCATCTATTACCCCCCTTATCCCCTTCCCCTTCTATTTCCTGTAGGGTAAGATAGATTTCTATACCCCTCTGCCTGTATATTTGATTTCCCAGTTGCATGTAAAAACAATGTCTAACATTCGTTTCTAAAACTTTGAGTTCCAAATCCTCTCCCTTCGTCCCTCCCCACCCACCTTCATTGAGAACGCAAGCAATTCAACATAGGTTATACATGTGTGGTCATATGAAACACTTACATAATAGTCATGTTGTGAGAGACTAACTATATTTCCCTGCATTCTATCTATCCACCCATTTATTCTATTCTCTCCTTTGTTCTTGTCCCTCCTCAAAAGTGTTTGCTTCTGATTATCCCCTACCCCAATCTACCCTCCCTTTTATCATACCTCCCTCTTTTATCCCCTTCCCCCCTACTTACCTGTAGAGTAAGACAGATTTTCATACACAATTGGATGTGTATGTTATTCTCTCCTTAAGCCAAATCCGATGAGAGTAAAGTTCACTCATTCCTTCTCACCTTCCCTCTCTCCCCCTCCACTGTAAAAGCTTTTTCCTGCCTCTTTTATGTGAGATAATTTACTCCATTCTACCTCTCCCTTCCTTCTTCTCCCAGTAGATTCCTCTCTCACCCCTTAATTTTCTTTTTTTAGGTATCTTCCCTTCATATTCAACTCACCGTGTGCCCTCTGTCTATATATATTCTCTCCAACTACCCTAATAATGAGAAAGGTTCCATGAGTTACAAATATCATCTTTCCATGTAGGAATAGAAACAGTTCAACTTTAATAAGTTGCTTGTGATTCCTTTTTCCTGTTTACCTCTTCATGCTTCTCTAGAGTCTTGTATTTTAAAATCAATTTTCTATTTAGCTCTGGCTTCTCAAGAATGCATTAAATTCCTCTACATCATTGAATATCAATTTTTTCTCCTCATTGATTACACTCAGTTTTGCTGGGTAGAACATTCTTGGTTTTAATCCTAGTTCCTTTGACCTCTGGAATGCCATATTCCAGAACTTCCAATCCCTTAATGTAGAAGCTGCTAAATCTTGTGTGATCCTGATTGTGTTTCCACAATACTTGAATTGTTTCTTTCTGGCTGCTTGCAACATTTTCTCCTTAACCTGAGAAGTCTGGAATTTGGCTACAATATTCCTGGGAGTTCTCCTTTTGGGATCTCTTTCAGGAGGTGATCAGTGGATTCTTTCAATTTCTATTTTATGTTCCAGTTCTAGAATATCAGGGCAGTTTTCCTTAATAATTCCTTGAAAGATGATATCTAGGTTCTTTTTCTGATCACAGCTTTCAGGTAGTCCAATAATTTTAAAATTATCTCTCCTGGATCTATTTTCCAGGTTAGTTGTTTATCCAATGAGATATTTCACATTGTCTTCTATTTTTTCATTCTTTTGGTTTTGTTTTATAATGTCTTGATTTCTCAGAGTCATTAAATTTCATTTGCTCTATTCTAATTTTTAAGGAATTATTTTCTTCAGTGAGCTTTTGGACCTCTTTTTCCATTTGGCTAATTCTGCTTTTTAGGGCATTCTTCTCCTCATTAGCTTTTTGGACCTCTTTTGCCATTTGGTTAGTCTATTTTTTAAGGTGTCATTTTCTTCAGTATTTTTTGGGGGGTCTCCTTTAGCAAGCTATTGACTTTTTTTTTCATGATTTTCTTGCATCACTTTCATTTCTCTTTCCAGTTTTTCCTCTACTTCTCTTACTTGCTTCTCAAAATCCTTTTTGAGCTCTTCCATGGCCTGAAACCAATTCACATTTTTCTTGGGGGCTTTGGATGTAGTAGCCCTATTTTTGTTGTCTTCTTCTGGTTGTATGTCTTGATCTTCCTTGTCACCAAAGTAATACTCTATAGTCCGAGTTTTTTCCCTCCATTTGCTCATTTTTCCAGCCAGTCACTTGACTTTTTAACTCTTTATTAAGGTCGGCTCTGCTTCCAGTGTGAAGGGTGTACTGTCCCAAGTTTCAGGGGTTTTGTGCAGCTGTTTTCAGAGATACTTCTAAGGACCTGTAAATTTTCAGTTCTTCTAAGGTGGCACAATCTAAGGAGAGGTGTTTACTCCTCTCCTGACTTGTGCTCTGGTCCGTGAGTGACCACAAGCACTCTTTTCTGTCCCGGAAATGAGAGGAGGACCTTTCTACTGCTGCCACAAGCTTTTCTATGCCAGTGCTCCTCCTTACCCCAGGACTGCCATCTAGGACTAGGATGCAGATCCATGCATGGGCAAAGCAAGAGAATCCTGCCTCAGCGCCAGCAAAGAGATCCCTACCTTTCCTCTTCTGATCAGCTGTTTGATCTCCCCACCATCTGTGGGCCAAGAGCTCCAGAAGCAGCCACTGCTGCTGGGCACATTGCCCCAGGGCTGCGGTAGGGCCAGGGCTGGACCACGCTCCTCTCTCATGCAGGTCTGATGGACCTTTCCCACTGACCTTCTGAGTTGTCATTAGCTTTTGTGGGTTGAGAACTCTGGAAACCACCACAGCTACCAGTGATTCAGTCCCCTGAGGCCTGCTCCATGTTTACTGAGGCCCAGTCTTTGCCTAGGCTGTCTTGGGCTGGAAATTTGTTTCACTCTGTCTTTATGTGGGTTCTGCCGCTCTAGAATTTGTTTAGAGTCATGTTTTACAAGTATTTGGAGGGGTTTGGGGGAAAGCTCAAGCAAGTCCTTGCTTTTACTCTACCATCTTGGCTCTGCCCCTCATAATTTTTTTTTTTTTAATTCGAAAGCATTTAAAGCTTTTTACAACCTGGCCTCATCTTAACTTGCCAGCCTTATTACACATTACTCTTCTGCATGTATGCGATGGCCTAGTGAAATTGCCCTGCTTGGTGTTCCTCAGAAACATGACCCCATCTATTATTTCTGTGCCCTCTGTGTGTGCACATATACACTGACATGTCTACACATACATCTGTAGGTACACAATACATATATACATGCATGCATGCATGCACACATGTATGTATACATCCAGCAAAACTTGTGAAGCCCCAGGTGAGAAGGAGACTGATAAAACAAAGCAAAGGCAAGGAAACCTCAGGATCCTGCTGCAGTCAGGATGAATATTAATCACAGGACAATTACAGGAAAGCTTCAGAAAAAGGTCAAGTGAGCTCTCATAGAGATCTCAGACTCATGGTAGTTCTGGGACTGACTTCCTTTCCATAAGTTCCCTTCAGTTCAAGAAGACCCCTAGGGGATGTCTGTCAATGCTCCTGTTCCTCTGGCCATCAAAGTGCAGCACACCTTGTCTGTCTGAGGCAAGCAGTGCAGAGAGCCGGGGGTGTTAGCCAGTGATGAGAAGAGTGATGTGTCTGGACTCTGTTCAATTCACCAAACATTCGCTAGGTACAAGGCAGTGGGAAAATGTGAAATGGCTGAGCACTTTGGTACTTGCAAAGCACTTCATTGTCTTTCACTTGTGGCTGACTCTTCATGACCCTGTGGACCCTATCACACCAATACTATCCATGGGGTTTTCTTGGCAAAGTTACTGGAGCAGTTTGCCATTAAGTACAAGGCAAAAAGAGGTTAAGTCACTTGCCCAGGGAAATACAGCTAGTGAGTGTCCGAGACTGGATTTGAACTCAGGTCTTCCTGACTCTAGGCCTAGCACTCTATCTGCTAAGCCACCCAGCTGCTTCCTAGAGGCAGCACTTCATACATACATACATACACATACATACACATTATACTTATAATAAATACATGTGAGTACATATGGGTGCATATGTGTATACATGTAAGTGTATATATACATTTGAATACATCTCCTAGGTATCTGAGATCCTTTTCACGTCTTACTTCAACTTTGGCTGAAACCTGCCTTTAATCATACTGTGGTTGAGTTTCACCTTCACTGGAGTAGGATACACTGAAAATTTCATTGTCTTCCCTCTACATTATCAGGCTCCTTTTTGTCTGGCAGTTCATGAGTTTTATTAAATATAAGAGAGCAAATATAACTTCCTTCCTGGTCAGCTTTTGAGCTGGCTGTGAAATTTCAGTACTGTGATCGTGTACTTCTCTGTTTCCATTTCCTCATCTATAAAATGGTACTACTATTACTACAACTAATACTATTACAACTATTACTACTAGTACTAGTATTATGACTGCTATTACTACTGCCCATCACTGAGGCGTTGTAAGAAGCAAATGAAAGAATTACAATATGTACAAACATGTTCAAAAATAGAGTTCCACGCAAGCCCAAGTTATTATTATTATTATTATTATTATTATTATTATTATTATTATTATTATTATTAATATTATATAGCATCCAGACAATTTACCATTTGGAAAACATAGTTATCCACCTGTGCACACACCAATGGTGCTCTTCCCTTTGTGCTGTAGGGGACTGCCTGGATTGGTGTAGTTGATGATGGAGGCAGTGTGGTCACCACATACAATGTTACTGCTGGTCAGGTGATCTTCTTTCCTAAAAATATCCTGCACTGGGTAAAGAATGTGGGAACTGAGGACTGCCTTTTCCTGCTCTTCTTCACCACTCATGATGAGCTTCAGACCCTGGATGTTGATGATGTGTTTTTCTCTACCCCAGAGGACATTGCAGCCAGGTCCCTCAAGGTTTGTACCATGTCTTTAAGTGTATGCCACCGTGAAGATTTGGATTAACTTAGATGGACCATGAAAGCTGGGCCAGGGTGTTCAGGGTGGGGCTAGAAGAAATGTGGCCCTGAATGAGTCTAAGGACATTTAATTTAATGAACATTTCTCAAGTTCACTATACTGGCCATCAGCCCTAGAACCGCAGGATCTTAGAGAAGGGATCTTGAAGGATTCCCAGTACAATTTCTACCTGAACAAAAATGCTTTTTACAACTTTCTTCCCAAGCGATCCTCCAGCATCCACTTAGAAATGTCAGTGGTAGGAACCCACTTCCTCTCAAGGCAGACCTTTCCACTTTGGGATAGCATTTCCTGAGCCCTTATGGTATGTCTTACCTGATGCTAGAAATGGAATTGCTTCTGTTTCCTTTCTTGGGGATTTCCATAGAATCCTGTGTGTGCTGGGGAGAAATGTGAAATTCACTTGAGCATTTATTAAGCACTTGCTGTGTGCAATAATACAGTATATTTGACACAAATGTTTGTATGCTCTTAGTCTGATGCAAGGATCCCTACTCTTTTGCTGGAGAGTAGTGACTTTTGACATCCCCAAAGTCTTAAGATCACCTGTGGAGAACTAGTGAGAAAACAGATACTGCTCCAGGGAAGGGGTAAGATTTGGAGAGTGCGACAATAAGGGCTCTGAGCAGTGGTAGCCTGCTGGGAGATCAATGAGGTCAAGTTTCAAGATTGACATTTCTGAGCACCAGTGGCCTGATGAAACGAGAAAGAAATAGAAGGGCTAGTAGAAATGTGGGCAAGAGAAAGGCCCCATAAGGCTAGCATAAAATTAGGATAGGCCTTTTAATGCTTGTGAGATACTTCCCAAACCTCTAATTGTATTTTGAGTTTAGATGGGGCTGTTTGTGTCTTTGATGTCTTAAAGAGGTACAATAAATAACTAATGGGGCTGCTGTTTGTACATTTTAGCCTGAAGGTGGAGTTAATTTCATTAGAACGTTCCAGAAACAAGAAGAGGATCAGGCTGTCAATCTCCCTCCCAATTTGGTTGAGCTGGTTATGAACACCAGCTACATGCAGTCTCCAGACAGCCTGGTGTGGCGATACTTTTATGATCTTAAAGGTACGGGATGAACCAACGTGATATTTTTCTTGAGGCCCAAACCCAATTAATCTAAGATACAGTAATATAGTCCATATATTCAACAAACATGAAACAAATGAAGATTTTATGAAACTGATATTATTGAGGAGATTCACAGTGTGAAGATCTGGTAGGATTTTCTCTTTGGACTTAGAAACATATGAAATAACCTCTGTCTTTTTTTGTGCAAGCAAAATGGGATGTCAGTGACTCACAGTTGTATATAATTGTAATTTAAGCTTCATGGCTTCCTGTTTTCCAAGTAGCAGCCTCTGGGATGAATGAATTTCAGTTTAAAAAAATGCTTTTTCTCAATAACTTGATTTCTTTTTTTCCTGCCTTGCATTCTTCTGTGCTTTGCATGGATAGACAAAGACAGAGTTAGTAGGCTCTGAGAAGGTTATATAGGGGAGCTTCGGTACAAAAGAATGTAACAAAAGAGGAGCACTGTGCCCAAGGATGTGGATTTGTAACATATGATATCCATAGGAGTCAGTTTTCAGCAATACATTACTGGGATGCTATAAAATGAGAAAATATTCGTAAAGTGCCTTGTAAGGTTTAAAATGCTATATACTTATTTTTATTAATATTACTGTGCTCTTCTTTCCACCACTTTCATGAATCACTGCCCTGCTCCTGCAAATCCCAACCCTCATCCCTGCCTCCCTCCTTTCCCTACTTGCCTCCTTCCTCTCCTCCTTCTATTCTCTCAGAGTCCACACATAAACCTTAGCTCCCACTTTTTTTTTGTAGGAGAAAGTCTACTCTATGTTTACTTACCCCACTGGGACTTGTAAGGGTTTGTGCAGTCACACACAAATGTTTTAACTGGTGGCAAGATTATTAATGGGAAAAGGCTAAATCTTCGTTCTCCCCCCATGACCACTGGGGTGGTATGCATTTTAGCAGAAACCTCTGGGGACAATCATAGGAGCGTAGATTTAGAGCTGGAAGCTTTCTTAGAGGTCAATGAGCCAATAAAGAAGTCACAGAAATGAAATGACTTGTCCAGGATCTCATAGGTACTAAGTGCCAGAGTTGGGATTTGAATTTGGTTCCTCTGATAACAAATCCTCCTGCTGCACCTCAGTGCCACAAATGACCCTGCCTTTGTGATCTCATTCCCAGGGTTTTGATGATGGGAGGTTTAGGCTAGGTAGCACGTGTTAGAGCAGGCCAACGTCTGGGGGCCCAGTAGATGTCTTGTGACATCCCTCAAATCATTCCATCCAATGGTCACCTGACCTCCTACAGCAAAGCTGACGTCTTACTGTGTCCTGTGGTTGCTCCCATCTTTTGTATTGCTGGCTGGAAGTCTCTTGGTTTGTCTTGTGATTTTCAAACTTCCTCTTATTCAGGTTCAAAAGAATTTCGATTTCCAGGAGGAATAATTCAATGGGCTCGGTATCGAAAAAATGGAAGTGAACTAAGTGACAATGAGAAAGTTTTCAGTGAATCCTTGAATCAGGTAATTTGGGGAATGTTATTTATATGGGCCCTGGAATTTATAACAGAGTAGGATCCAAATTTCTCTTTTAAAAATAAACATTTTTCAAGCTGTGTGCATGCATGCATGCATGCATGTATATATGTATTGTGTACCCACAGATGTATGTGTAGATATGTCAGTGTACATGTGCACACACAGAGTGCACAGAAATAGTAGGTTTGTCAATTAACATTTTAATTAGAGCAATGTGGGCAGGGAATTCAGGGCTCACCTTGGATTTTGGGGTCTGAGTGATCTGACTTGGGTGACTCTGAAGAGACTATTATGTTTTAATAGAGCACACTAACTAAAACATCCATATTTCTTTCTGCTTTCAGCATGAAAATTCCCTCACTCTGGGAACTCTCAGAATTTACACCAATGGTTTAAGACAGCCTCATTTTCATTTTAACGCTAATGAAATGGGATATGTCATCAGTGGATGTGGAAAGGTGATTTCTTAAAACTATTGTGCAAACACATTTCTTGTATTTCTTCTCTAATGCCAAAAACAAAAAAGGCCAAAAGAAACTGTAGATAATCTGTTCTAGTAGAAAAAACTTCGACTTTGATGTTGGAGGACCTAGGTTAAAGTTCTAGCTACTTACTACTTCTGTTAGCTCAAGTAAATCACTTAGCTTGGGGGGACCTCAGCTTAGTTGTGGAAGCTATATGCAGGCCCTCATCATGCTTGGACTATTGCAATAGCCTGATGGTGGGTCTGCCTACCTCACTGCTCTGTTTGGCATTTGAAGCCTTTCACAACCTAGCCCCCTCCTACCTTTCCAGGCTTCTTCTTCCTTCTTTCTTTCTTTCTTTTTTTTTTTTTTAGGCAATTGGGGTTAAGTGACTTGCCCAGGGTCTCACAGCTAGTAAGTGTCAAGTGTTTGGTCTGAGGCCGGATTCAAATTTAGGTCCTCCTGACTTCAGGGCCGGTGCTATATCCACTGCACCACCTAGCTCCCTCCACTTTCCAGGCTTCTTACTTGTTACTCTTGAACACATACTCTTCAATACAATAACATTGGCCTCCTGACTGTTCCATGAACAAGGCACTCCATTTCTTGACTGGAGGACTTCTCTCTGGCCATCCCCCATACCTGGAATCCACTGACCTTCCTGGTTTCCTTTAAGTCCCAACTAAAATCCCACCTTCTACAGGAAGCCTTGCCCAACCCCTGCATTCCAGTACCTTCTCTCTTTTGATTATCTTCTATACATCTTGATTTGATTTGATTTGATTTATCCCATCATCAAAATGTGCATATTTATTTGCATGTTGCCTCCCCTATTAGATTGTAAGCTCCTTGAGGAGAGGCACCTTCTTTTGTCTCTTTTTGTATCCCCATTGCTTAGTAAAATGCCTGGCACATAGTAGGTGATTAATAAATGTTTATTGTATTGAATTAAATAAAATGGAGGAATTGCATTAGACTATGCCAGTTCTAAAACCTATGATGCTATGAATACCAGACTGAAATTCACATATGATCTCCTCTGTAACAGTGAGCCTCAGATGGGCTAAGGTCATGTAAATGGCAGCCTTTTAAAAGGGGTGTGTATCTATTATTTACTTTACAAAAATGCTTACCATAGAAGGTAAACAGGATAAAATCTGAGCCCAACTCAACAGAATGTCATTAATAAGGAATAAAGGCAAAGGCTTGCATTTTGATTTTTAAAAAACTAAAAAGTACAGGGCTGAGGATAGACCTGGCTTGGCAGTAGTGTGATATAGTTTCTGGGGAGTTGGCTTCCCAGGCAGGATGAACTGTGTTCAAATCCTGTCTCTGAAACAGACTGGCTGACTGATCCAAGGCAAATCACTTAACCTCTCAGAGTCCCAGACAACTCTCTTAAGACTAAATTACAGAACTATTAATCTGTATTGGTAGAGGGGGTTTCCTTACTAGGAATTCTGATGAAATCACAGGTCTGGGGACACACACACACACACACACACACACACACACACACACACACCCAAATGTAGAGGTTTTAGCTCACCAAAACTTTAATAAGAAATAACAGTTTCCTATTGTGACTCCTTAAAAAAAGAAAAAAAGGTTGCATTAATAGAAATATAGTGTCTAGATCACAGTGTTACAGGAAGTGTCTGACCTGTTGTACCCTACGATGGTCAGGTCATATCTGGAGTAGAACGTTAGATATGGGTCCTGCATTTTTAGAGAGACATTGACAAACTGGAGCGTGTGCAGGCCAAGACAATCAAGATTTTAAGGGATTCAACTCAGTGCAGCAGACATTTATTACATGCCTCTTATGTGCAGGGAGCTGTGATGGGTGCTAAAAACTATCTCATACAAGCAATAGCTCAAAACCTTATAAGATATTAAGCTCAGAAATGCCAAGATTTAGGGAAATCATGATCATTCTTTTCAAATGTTTCAGAGTGTTTCAGATAAGAAAAAGAAGTAATCTTGTTCTGTACAACTCCTTAGGGCAGAATTAAGATTAATGGGTAGAAGTTCTAGGGGGGCAGATTTTGGCTTACTATAAGAAGGAACTTTCTAACAACTAGGGCTGTCAGCAAGAAAACAGGCTGCCAATGCTCGGATTCTTATAATCTAGCCACTGCTTAGACTCTTAAAATCTAGCCAATATCTTACTAATGTTCAGACTTCTTAAGATTCTGCCCAATATGATGGATGTTCTAATAAACCTTGTCTTTGGCTGAAAAAAAAAAAAGAAAATAGGCTGCTGTGCCAGAGAGTGAGCTCACTGTCACTGAAGGAATGAAAGAGAGGTTAAAAAAAACCATCTTTCAAGGGTGCTATAGAAGGGATTCCTACAATTAAACTATATGGCCTCTAAGATTCCTTCCAACTCTAAGGTTCTATTGGGGCAGGGGAGAGGGGTGGGAAACTTGTGGCCTTGAGGCCACATCTGGCCCTCTGGGTCCTCAAGTATGGCCCTTTCAGTCAAAAGGCTGAGTTGAGCACCTAGAGGGCTGTATGTGACCTCAGGGCCACAGGTTCCCCACCCCTGTCCCAGCACATTTAAAGAAAGAGGTGCTTTACATATCTTTTTGCAGAAACATCAGCTGTGTAAAGCCAGGTGTGTCTGTATTGTCCAGTTTGCCAAATACATGCTCTAACGTGTTTTAAAGTTCATCTGAGAAATTTGAGCTGGGATAGTCCTGATGTGGTGTCCTTTGACTTGCATTGGCAGCTTCAAACCCTGGACCCGGATGACTATATCCATGCAACAGCTGACCACATCTTGGCCCAGCTTTTCTTCAAGAAGCAGAGTGAGTTTAAGAAGATCCCAAGATTCACTGAGGATCAAGCCATCAATTTGCCTTAGACTGACCGATGACTTGACATCTACTTTTCCTTCTTTACTCCTCTTTCCTAAGAAACATTTGGTTTCAGTTAGAGTGTTTCAAGTACAAAG